TTGCTTTACTTTGCTTTGACTGGTCTTGTGACCCTGTGGTTGTCTCCCACTGCGCCTATGGGGGTGTGTCAAACATTGCATGTTTATATTGTCTAGGCTGTAGTGGGTTACACCTTAGGGGGTACACAAAGTTAGGGTTTACTACTTGTACCAAACTCTGTTCTAGTTTATTCATTCCTGCTCAGTTATTTCTGACACTCCTCGTGCAGGCTGCCCTGCAAGAAAGCAGTGCTGAAGTCAAGTGAGTGAAGCTCGTAGTCGCGGTGAGCGGCTATGTGCAGCAGCACCCGAAGAGTAGTCATCTTCGGGGTGGGGGAGAAGGTCTGGAAGAAATCAACTCCCTCTCGCTGACTGAAGCCTCGAGCCACGTAACGCGCCTTGAAGACAGGCGGAGAACCCGGCGGCCGCTTCACCCTGAAAATCCACATGCCACTGACGATGTTCGCCCCAGGAGGGGGAACCTCGTCGACGTAGGTGCGTGTGGACTTCCAGGAGGCCATCTCGGCATCCATGGCTGTCTGCCACTGAGAGGAGTAGGGACCCGCCATCGCCTCAGCGTAAGTGCGCGGGGTCGGGATGTCTGGTGCATCCGGGTCTCCCTCAGGGGCAACTAGCAAGGACACGAGACGGGGCAAAGCAGCAGCAAGACACTGGAACTCCTCCTGTCTGTCCTCAAGGACGTCCGTGCCAAGAGCACACTCACCCCCGACGGACGGAGGACAGACAGACTCAGACTCAGACTCAGCAACAAGGCTAGCGGCGTAGTCTAGACGACAGGCAGCAGCAAAGTCAACCAACTCAGCGACCAGAGCAGACGCAGTCGAGGACTCAAAGGTAGGGTCAGTGACAACAGTAGCGAGGAGACACGTGACAGTAGGGTGCTCAGCACGGTACCGGTCAGACCCAGGGTCCGGAACGTGAGGCAAAGAAGACGCAGGAGGAGACGGTAGAGGGACACGCTGAGGAGCAGTAGAGGGACGCAGAGTCATGTAGTGAGTGCCTGGGACAGGAGGAGGACGCTCACGACGGACACGACTACCAGTGCGAGCAGGACGAACAGGCGACGCAGGACGAGACTCAGGCTCACGACGCTCTGTAAGACCTCCTGTGGGACCAGTGTAAGGAGAGGGAGCAGGGAGAGGCGAGGAAGGCGGTAACTGTGACTGCGGCTGGACAGGCAGAGGACACTCTACGGAGGGAGGAGGACAAGGAGGAGGAGTCTGCCCAAGAACCTGCTGAAGGAGCGGTACGAAGTACGGTCGCGGCCGCGCAGCGTCTCCAGAAGCAGAGGAGACTCCAGCGGCCGGGTCCACAGCACCAGCAGCAGCTCCACCGGCCGGGTCCTCAGCACCAGTAGTAGCTCCAACGCCCGGGTCCTCAGCAGCAGCAGCAGCGCCACCGCTCGGGTCCTCAGCTCCAGCAGCAGCTCCACCGTCCGAGTCCTCAGTACCACCGGCAGCTCCCACATCCGGGTCCTCAGCACCAGCAGCAGCACCACCGCTCGGGTCCTCAACTCCAGCAGTAGCTCCAACGTCCGAGTCCTCAGCACCAGCAGTAGCTCCACCAGGCGGGTCCGCAGCACTAGCAGCAGCTCCCACGTCCGGGTCCTCAGCACCAGCAGCAGCGCCACCCCCAGGGTCCGCAGCACCAGGAGCACCACTCCGAAGACTGCAGCGCCGTGTGTACCACTCGCGGATCTGCTGAATGGGGGGGAGCTCCTGGGTAGGAGGGGAAGTACTGGGACGAGCTCCAGCAGCACCTCTCCGGAGGCGGCAGTACTCGAGGTACCTCTCCTGCAGCTGCTGGGAGGAGAGGGCTCCTCCAGGTGTAGCACGCTCAGGCTCAGCACCCCCAGACGCAGCACCCCCAGACCCAGCACCCCCAGGCTCAGCACCACCAGGCTCCGCACCTCCAGGCTCCGCACCTCCTGGCTCAGCACCCCCAGGCTCCGCACCCCCAGACTCAGCACTCCCAGGCTCAGCACCCCCAGACGCAGCACCCCCAGGCTCAGCACCCCCAGACGCAGCACCCCCAGGCTCAGTACCCCGAGCAGGACGAGAGTCTACAGCTACCTCGACAGGCTCACCCGGGTCTACCTGGGACACACCTGAGGGAGCGGCACCCTGAGGGGGGAGGGGGTCTGGTACCTCAGCACCTGGAGCGAGGAAGAGAGGCGGGGGGGGGAGCGGGGCAGTGCGGTAGGGGAAGAGGCGGTAGTAGGGGACGGACTCGTCAAAAGTGACGTCCTGAGAGGCCAGGACACGCCGCGAGGTGGGGTGGTAGAACTGCCAACCAGGGGCGTCCGGGACAAAGCCAAGGAAGACGCAGGGGACAGCGCGACGGGAGAGCTTGTCCGCGGACGTGTCGCGGACAAAAGCTCGGGATCCCCAGACCCGAAAACGCGACGCATCGCCAGCCTCTCCCGTCCAACGCAGTGTCGGAGAAGTCTCGGGCAAGGAGACACGGGGCCAGAGGTTGAGCTGATGCGCAGCGTATCGGACTGCAAACGGCCACAGAAAGTGGGGGGCAGCCGCATGAACCAAGGAGGTACGAGCGACCTCCATGACCAAGCCAATGCGGCGCTCAGCAACCCCATTCTGCTGTGGAGAGGCCGGAAGCGTGAACGACTGCTCAATGCCCTCCTGCTGACAGAAGGTCTCCAAGAGGCCAGAGGAAAACTCTCCACCTCTGTCAGAGTGCAGACGCAGGACAGGGAAGTCGGAGTGGAAACGCTCACTGAGCTGGAGACGAGATCTGCGGATCCAAGGGATCAAGACATCAGGGACGTCACCCTTGGTGCGCAAGGGGAAGACCGTGGTGTAGCGCGAGAAGTCGTCAACAACAATCAGGAAGTACCTCTCCTGACCCTGGCCACGGACGCGGGTTGGGCCCCACACGTCCATGTGGAGCGTCTGCAAAGGAGCAGTCGTCGGGGGAAAGGAGGAGGAGTGAGGAGCGGCGCGCTGCCGCCCCTCGACACAGGGAAGACAGGGAGGAGCAGGTGAGGCTGGAAGGGGAGGGAGCACCCTGGGAAGCCCAGCAACAAGGTCCCGTTTGTGCATGGCCCGAAGGCGCTGCACAGACGGGTGACCAAGGCGGTGGTGCCAAAGGACAGTCTCATGCGCCAGAGAGCGACACGAGCAGGGGGCGGACAGCTGACCTGACGCAGACGCAGACGCGGACGCAGCTACCTGAGGGGAGTCAGTGGTCAGTGTGTAAAGGTCCGACCCCGGCTCCCGAGTGAAGGTAGCCAGGTGGCGACCCGTCCGAGCACACGTGCAGTGTGTCACGCGCTCGTAGGCAGGGGTGAACTGGTGAACACCCCCGTCCTGGAGCGCACTACCTGCCACCAAGTTCGTAGAGAACGAGGGGAGGTAGAGACCTGACAGCGTGCCGGACGGGACCGCCGGACAAGGAAGGACAGTGGAGGAGGTCGCAATGACCGGACCCCCAGAGGGGTCAGCAAGGGAGACAGCAACTGGCCGAGCGAGTGGCTCAAGGACAGTGCGGTCACGAAAGAAAGAGCGAGAAGCACCTGAGTCCAGGGTGAAGGTGACGGGCGGCTGCGGGCGGGCGGCCGCTGCGACAGCGGGCTGCGGGCCTGCGGGACGTGCGCGAGCAGGCGACGGGCGGCTGCGGGGCGTGCGCGAGCAGGCTACGAGCGGCTGCGGGGCGTGCGCTAGCAGGCGACGGGCGGCTGCGGGGCGTGCGCGAGCAGGTGACGGGTGGCTGTGGGGCGCGCGCGAGCAGGCGACGGGCGGCTGCGGGGCGCGCGCGAGCAGGCGACGGGCCGCGCGCGAGGGAAATAAGGCGCGCGCGGGAAAAAAAAAAAAAAGGCCGCGCGCGAGCGGCTAAGGGGCGGCGCGACGGGGCCTTAAGGGGCGGGTCGCGGGTCGCGGGAGGTAGGGGCCGTAAAAAAAAAGTTCGAGGCGCCCTAGGTAGGTAGGTAACGGTGGGCCCTTAAAAAAAAACGGTCCTAGCGAAGGACCTGCTCTGAAACCATGTCAGAATGAACGGACAGGAATGACTGTACTAGCACAAAGTTGGATACAAGTAGTAAACCCTAATCTAGTGTACCCCCTAAGGTGTAACCCACTACAGCCTACAATCATATAAACATATAATGTTTGACACACAATAGCAACAACAAGTTGTGGATGGGTTTGGAGTGAGAGATGCTACAAATTATCAAGCACAGATGTTAAACATCTTGAAGTTCCAGACTTCAAGACTCTTCGACGGAAAGGACTGAACAACAAGCATCAAAACATACAGGGAGTTCGCAAACTCCCAGGAGTTACGCGAATGTTCTGAGGGTGGGTCGCGAAGCGTCCCGAACAGAACCTTCTGGAATTTTGTAGAAGGCAATTTGGTGGCAACCAAAAGGCCTAAAATTCGGTACACGCAATCGGTTCGGTACTAGAACAATTTTGAAATATACGAAAGCACCCAACCTAGGAAATCAAGCAGAAGCATGCATGAAAAAATAAACCTAAGCTAGAAATAACATATTAATGGCAAGGCAAGCATGCAATGCTAGCATAAGCCGTTGTACTCTCACAAGTAGCGTGGGACACACCTGACGGGGCACGACTAGGGGGGGGCGGGTGTACTGGAGGAGCGGAGCAAGAGGAGGAGTGGGGGCAAGGAAAAGGGGAGGGGGGTGGGGGACCGAGAGACCTCGACAAGGGTACCGGGTGTAGTAGGACACGGACTCGTCAAAGGTGATGTCACGAGAGTCAAAGAACCACTGGAGGAGCGAGTGGTAAAAGGTGTAGTCAGAGGAGTCCGCCAAGAAACCAAGGAAAACACAGGGGATGGCGCAAGCGGAGAGCTTGTCCGCAGAGGTGTCGCGGACAAGCGCAAGGCAGCCCCAGACATGAAATTCCGACGCAACACCAGGAGACCCGGTCCAAAGACTGGTCAGTGAAGCCCCTAGCCGTGAGACACGAGGCCAGAGGTTCAACTAGTGGGTGGAGTAGCGAACCGCGTAGGGCCACATGGGTGTACGGCCGCACGGGCGTGGATCATGGAGGTATAGGCGATCTCCATGACCAAGCCTATGCGGCGCTCAGCAACCCCATTCTGCTGTGGGGACTCTGGAAGCGTCCAGGACTGGGTGATGCCCTGCTTGTGACAGAATCCGGCAAGAGTGCCCGAGCAAAACTTGCCCCCACGGTCGGAGTGAAGACATCTGACATGAAGACCACAAGTAGTCTCAGTGGTCAACAACCACCAGATTAGTGTAGAAGTCACGTCGGATTTTTTCGCCAGGCGGAACACGGTAGTGTAGCGAGAGTAGTCATCAACAACCACCAGAGTGAGGGGCAGGGCCCCAGACGTCCAAGTGGAGAGTCTCAAAAGGCTCGGTGGCCGGACGAAGGGAGGAGGAGTGAGGAGTGACGTGCAGCCGACCGCTGACCCTGACGAGAGCCTGTCAGAACCACGTACGGGCAGGGAGGAGGAATGATACCACGCGGCGCCCAACCGGGTGGACCACCGCCACGTCTAGAACTCCTTGACCCAACAAGTCCCTGCAACTGCTGTCCCTGCTGCGGCTGCTGCTGCTGGGGCTGCTGTCGCTGCTGTGCTGTGTACCAAACAACTGGCCCAACACCCCCTCTCGTGGGGCCCGCAATGTCGCCTCCACTAGACGCACTAGTAGCGCCACCACCACCTGCACCACCAGCAACGCCACCACCTCCACCACCACCACCACCACCACCACCACCACCACCACCACCACCACCACCACCACCACCACCACTACCCTTCCCCCTGCTCCTACCTCCCTTATCCTAGACAACGCAGCAGTGGTAAGAGAAGCAGTGAACGTGGGAAGCTGGGGTGCAGCGCAACCAAAAAAGGGACTGGGAGGCACTGCAGCGGTGGCAGCGGCAACAGCAAGGAGCTTGCTCTCGATTTTTGTGAGGGTAGACTCAAGAAGATTGATGGTGAGCTCAGAGGGGTGCTTAAGAAGAAGCACGTCGCAGGCACAGAAGAGGCGATCAGGGAGGCGAGTGACTAACCAGTTTAGGGTGAGCCACATAGGAGGTGTGGCAAGTTTGAGCTATTCCTCGGTGCAAGCAGCACGAAAGCTAGTGTCAAGAGAGCGGAGGTGGGTGACAAGGTTGGAGACAGTCTCGATCGAGCCCAGGTCAGGGAAAACAAAGGGCATAAGGAGGCCGATGAGAGAGGCAGATGAAGGGGCACCGAGCAAGAATAGCACCGTACAGGTCCTTTGCCGAGTCGCACTGTGAAAAGTGGACTACCTTAGTCGGCGGGAGAAGGTCGATGAGGGCGTTGCAAGCAGCAGTCTTGGCCATACGTCACGTGCCAAGAACAGCCTATCATAGTCAGCCCGCTGTTCATCGGTGGATGGAGGCGTAGTAGGCAAGGAACTAGGGCGTAGAGAGGCCTGGAGAGTGCCAGACGCATGAGCAAAGAGGTGGCGCCATCCTGACGTAGACTCCTAAGGTGGCATTGAGCATGGGTAAGCGGCTTGTTAAACTCGATCGGATGACCCTGGCGTCAAAATGTTAAACTTGAGAGGATGCCATGCTAGGCGCTAGGAGTGAGCGGGGGCAAAGCGAACGGAACGAGCCACGCAAGACTGGTTATATGAGAGGTACAAGGCGAGGAGCGGTAGACCGAACGAGACGCGAACACTAAATGTAACGAGGAGAGTCGACTTCGGCTGTCAGCCGCCGTTAGGAACGCCTATGGTAGTAGGCTGGTGTAGGATAGTAGGTACGGGTGGGGTGGAGTACGGTCTAGCGTGGACGAGTGTGGTCGAGTGCGGTTGAGTGCGGTTGGATGCAGTTGAGTGCGGTGGAAAGTGGTCAAGTACGGTAGGGTGGGGTGGGTTGGACAATCGAGGAGTACGGGTAGCGGCGCGTAGCGAAGGTACGTGCAGTTGCTGCTGCTGCACACGCGGCTCCTAGTGCACGGGCAGCTGCGCGTGTAGCTGCTGCTGCTGCGCGTGCGGCTCCGAATGCGTAGGCAGCTGCGTGCGCGCGTACAGCTGCTGCGCGTTTCTGCTCGTGCGCGGCGACGTGCGTGCGGCTGCGCACTCTGGCGGCAGGGCAGGGCACAGCACGGGACGAGGCGGGGCGCGAGCAGGGTGGACAGGGCGTGCAGCGAGGGTTTCAGGGCGCGTGGCAGCGAGGGTTTCAGGGTGCGCAGGTTCAGTGTGCGTGGCGCATGCCGTGCGCGCGCGCGAAGCTGCGCATGCGTGCGGGGATCTGCCGTGCACGTGCGCGCTGTTGTGCACGTGCGCGCGGCTCCTATAGTGCAGGTAGTGCTGGCAAGCGGGGAGGCAGCACGTATCCTGGCGTTTAAGGGCATCACGGGGCGTCACGGGGCGACACGGAACGTCACGAGGTGAAGGCCTGGGATAAACCTAGCTGATACCATCTCAAAATTTGGCTGATTAGCTACTTTGAGTTAGGTAGAAAAATGTTGTGATTGGGGGGGGGGGGGGGGGGGGGGGGTACAAGAAGACTATCGAGATAGTTTGTGTTCCCCCTAGAATGCAACTCACTACAGCCTATCTAAAGTATATGACATAGTTTGACACATCACAGACTCTGCAGAATCTAAAGAATGCCCTGATTTTTCATGACAAAGTTTCTAGACCATCCTGTAGTTTCAGGACACTTGCCACGACTGACTCTTGGGAAAAAAACCAGTCCGATGTTCTAAGGGGGGGGGGGAAAACTAGCCCGAGGCATATTTCTAGGAGAATGGATACACTGATTTGTCAGGTCCCGCAGAATCATAATTCTTAAGTACTCAGACTTTACACAGGTCAAAACTAGACTTAAGATAGTATAATACTTATTTATTGCACACAATTATTTGAAGTGAACACACTAGAATAACGCCATTTATACAGCACTATCTACCTACCTACTTTCCTACGGTAGTACCTCCATAGTATCGAATACCTACATGGATTGCGGAGGTGTGGGATCAAGTCCCCAAGTAGGTCATGATTGACGCGTTCCGCCATTATGGGATTCCAAGCAAGATGGACGGGACAGAGAACTACCTGGTAATGTCTCACCTGCGCGCGAGGAGCACCAGTGATGTCTCCAAGGACATGTGCCTCAGGGGGACCACGGGCGACAACACGCGCCTACTTGGGCAGGCTCCAAGGGGAGGGGGAGGAGGAGGAGGAGGAGGAGGAGGAGGAGGAGGAGGAGGAGGAGGAGGAGGAGGAGGAGGAGGAGGAGGAGGAGATGCAGGCGGAGGGCGTCAAGGAGGTCGGCGTGGTAACCAGCCTGGAGGTACTGTACGAGGAGACCCCCAACTACCGAGGAGCAGCGGCTGAGGCTGATTGCATGATCAAGCCCATGCAGACGGCTATGCATGCCTAGCAAATGCCAGACCTGGATATTAGGGAGCCTGCCACTGCAAGTGCAGATGAGGAGGCCGTGACAGAGGGGGGCTAGGTAGAAGTAGCAATTCATGAATGTATGCATGTACCCCCCGTTAAGGAACTACAGATCGTTTAGAAGAGACCCCCCCTTTCTAAGAAAACCACCCTTGTTCTGCTTGCAAGACACACTCTTATCTCATACACACATAGAGGTGTCTTATAATCAGGAACACCCGTTTATAAGAGACACTCGTTAAGTAGACACCCCCATCTTCTATTCAACACTTTCTTATATTCGGGCGATGACGGTAGTAATTCTTCCCACATGTCAGCAGTGTACAATATAGTCTACAGCACCAGAATAACCATCTCAAACATGTCATCTCCATTGTCTTCTTCTTCTCCCTCATCCTCTGAGAGGAACGGGTTGTCGGTGGCATTGTCTTGGCGTGCGCCTGCAAACCCCTACTCACCGTCCTCATCTGAATCATACTCCTCCCCCCACTCACAGCCACGCTCCTCTTTCTCTTGGACCTCCTCATCAGCTAGCTCCTTCCCCTTGCACTTCCTCTAAGATGCTGCACAAACCGGTGACTTGGCAGGGCGCCTAGGCTTCTCTCGCCACTTGGCAAGAGCTGCATCCCAATCGATCCTTCATTCTAGCAGTGAAATGGCCATTAGTTCTGCTAGTCATGCGCTGCCCATAGCGCCCCTCACCCAGGACTCGATCATGTTTTGGTGAGAGAAACCTCGCTCGCACTCGACTGTCGACAGTGGCATCACAGCAGTAGCTTGCAACATCCGCATGATGTTGGGCTAGCGCCTGAAATAAAACACGCAAGTCGAAAACTGACAATACATAGGCGTGTTAATACGTCCTGTATGGGAGAGGCAGAGATTGGCAACACAAAGGATAAACGCACCTAGCTGCCTCAGTAGTGTTCATGAAGTTGCGCAGACCCTGGAAGAAGCCCTCTTCCTCATGGTGCGCCTCCATGATTGGCGCCCATGACAGGAGCTCACTCTCGGCATCAGACAAATCAAAGCCGGGGAGTTTGTCTCCAAAAATCATTGCACCCGTGCAGGTACTCCCACACCTTCCTGTCGCGTTGCTGCCATTAATTCGGCCACTTCGCAGCTCGGAACAGATTCGTCAGTGCCAGCTTCCTGAGGTCGGCAAGGCAAAAGTTAACCCAGTTTACACATTCCTGTGCAAACTTGGTGCACAGCTTCTTGCACTCTCTGTACATGCTGCCGTACGCATGTTTATATAGGTGTCGCTTGTGTAGTTTGTAGACGTGGGACACGTGATGTCCTTCAGTGTCCACGCCGCACACCCTTGCCTTCTTCACACCACCCCTCCCGTACAGCACTAGAAACTTCGACAGCGCGGGGCTCTCACCTGCTCCGAAGACGTCCCCGCACTCGAGGTAGCATCGGCACTTGTCCCCCGTAGCCCCGTCAATGTCCTTGGCTCTCTGTCACATCAACCAGCAGCAAGTAGTGATCGGGGTAAAATAGAACGTTAGTGATTGTTTTGTCCAAATGAGAATACTTAATGTTATGTGTGCTGACCTCTCTCTTCCGGAACTTGAGGTTGAGCTCATTCATGATGGCGAGAACGTCTGCAAGGAAAAAATGACTAAACTGAAACTTGTACAATGTGACTGTCTCGTACAAGTTGTGCCAGCTCTCAGCCATAAGAACGATCGAGGCGCTGAGCACCCTACACAAATGATGCAGTGCCTCTCCACGTAACAACCATCTGGCAGTGTGAATTTTCTGAACCTCCAGGTTAGTCTTACATATGGCCTTCTATTGATACCGAAAGCGCTGGCTCAAGTTATTCAAGCTCGAGAATAATGCCGCCAGGATCCTTATGACCTTGTCTACCATGTCCATGTCAAGACATGCTAAGGCAACATCCAGAACCACCAGCGCTTCCCTACACAAAGGCATGAACAACATTGGAGAAAAGAAATAGATTTGTATGGCGTATCTACAAATTGTAAACCGTCAGTACATCTCTGCACGATACAGTGGGATGATACGAGTCGTGTGATCAAGCCATTGCCACAGCCTATCATTATGTTGGCTCCGTCGGTGCTAATTGCAGAGATGACAGTCTGCAGATGATTCTAAATAGCAGACAGGAGCAATGTCGCGTCACATTTCTCGACCGGGAGGTGCGCAAAAAACTCCATGACAGAGCGGTTATGTGAGATGAGGTGCTTCCCGCACGTGCAATTGGTGCTCTCTTCCGTGCTGATGCCCAAGAAAGGGGAAGCCAGGATGTGACGCAGCATCACCTGCAGAACGGTAACGAGGCAGTGAACCAGTTCTTGGAACCATACCCACAGTAACAATTACACTGAAAGGAAAGCTAGTGCTAGCGATGAACGGTCGAGTGCATCGCCCTTGAAGTTTACAGCAAAGTTAGTAAGCCTCCAACAACTCACCGTGTAAGGTAGACACTGTATGCCTGTTGATGGAGGTCTGGCGTATCCTGCTCAGCCAAGAAACGCACAAGTCACGGATACATGGAAGTCGGTGCATCAACCTTACAAATGAACACCGTTGTGCGCATTAGCCGAATCACTCTACGGCCCTCCATGTCCCTACTCGTGAATCCAGCCTCTTTTGTT